GCGGCGTGGGCGGGCGCGGCGGCCCGAGATTGCAACAAACAAACATGTCTTCAAAGGGCTGTCACCAGCAATTGGCGGTGGCGCGGCTGCAGGGCCCGCGGGCGGGGCGGGCTTGTGTCAACACAGGGACGGGGAGGATTGGCTGGAGCAGCAGCGCCAGCCAGCAGCGCCGCCGCGGGGCGGCTGACGCGACGCGGCACAGCTTGTCCTCGAGCGGCACCCGGCAGCACCAGACCGCCAGACCTCATCATAACCGACCGATGCCCGCGAGGATTTTTGGCAGCAACTATACTTCTTTTACTAGTTCCGCTAGATTTAGACCACATGCCAGGCAGACGCCGAGCCCAACAAGATGGCTAAAGAAAAAGTAAAAATCAAGTGGCAGATCCCGGTTTGCGTGGTGCGACGGGACTGATTCATCATCTTCCGACCGTTCTCTGTCGTTATCCCTCCATCCGCTCGTGCGCGGGTTCCTATGGACCTAGCGCGTGCGTGGGCCGATGCAGGAGGGTTGGGGTGGCGCGCGGGGAGGAGCCCGCCGGAGGAGCCCGCCGGAGCAACAGCTACCCTGACCCGCCGCCAGAGCTGCTGTGACATTAAAAAGTCCCCCTCCCCCGCCCTGCCACCAAATTGTTTTCTTTGAGCGCGCATCTCTTTATTAGTTTATTTTCTCGTTGTCTGTGCTTGGCACGCGCCTTTAAACCCCCGTCATTCTTTATCCCATCTAATCGTAATTTTTTTTTTTTGCTTGCTGATTCGCTTTACGCACGCGCGTGCGTGTATGTGGCTCACTGCATTCCAGTAAAAAGTACACGCGAGCCGCGTTAGAAATAATAGACCGGGTCCGACCGGGTCAGACGCGAGGAAATGAACGACTGACAAGTAACAATATTACATGTGAACGTATTTCATAATCATCCAGAACGTCCAGTTTATCCTCAGCAAGCTCTCATATCGCCTGCCAGGTAGGCAATTTCTTGCCTGGATTGCATGCGTGTAGAGCGGGGTGGCCTACCCCAAGTCTCGCAGGCGCCGAGCTCCCGTCCTTTCCCGATTGAGCCCGAGAAAAGCGGACGCACTTTCTGGACGAACCCTTGTGGGACCCAGAACAACAGTGGGGCGGGAGCAGGCGCGAGCAATGACATCTTAATCTGCATCTGCTGCCGAGCCCCTCGCCACCTCCGCTGTTCCCTTCACTCTCCTCCCCTCCCCACAGCACTCCCAGAACAATCAACCCCTTACCGACCCCACTGCCCCTTCCCTTTCATCCTCCCAGTGCGACATCCCCTTCCCTTTCCCCCCTTTTCCGCGCACGTTTTGTTGCCACCCTCTGGCGCCACCTGTACGCGCCAGGTGATTTTTTTTTTCGCACTCGCACTCTTTCCGGAGGAGCAGGGTTGGGGATTAAACTTTAATGGCGAAGCAATGAGGCACTGGTGCAGCGCGGGCGCGACGCGCTGCACGGCGGGTTGCCTACCTCATCCTCTCCAAACCGGCAGTTAGGGACGCGCAAATAAAAAGTTGATCGGGCGAGAGGGTAGCGCGATCTCTTTGTTTAAAAGTCTGATTTCGCTCTATCTCTAAAGGGGAGAGGTAGATAGGGACGGGAGGGGCAGAGAGGGGCGGTGATGCACGGGGGCTCAGCCCAGCCCCGCTGACAGAAGACATCAGGACAGGCCGCGCCGCGGGAGGGTGGGGCCGTGAATTATTTAAATTTAATCACGTTTGCCTTCCCTGGCAGGACGGATTCAATTATGCGTCTTTTAATGTGTGAGAACGTGATTGTATGAAGATTTTATGAAGCGGGCGGCACATACGCCCCGCCGGCGGCACTCCGCAGCGCAGGTGCGGCACTACTTCACGCGCAGATCTACGTAACTAGTAAATGTGACATATTACAATGGATATTTAACCGAGTCGCTAGGCCGGAAGTAAGAAGTAAAATAGATGCATTAAAACGGAACCAGCTGCAGTTGAATGCAATCAATTCGAGGGGTCGTCAACTCTCCTTGGCCGTGTACGGAGGAATATTGAATATTTCAAATAATATTGGTAATATTGAGCCAATTTTCAAGCTGTGACGTCATAATACTAGAAAAATGTGTACAGTATATCGAGGTAATATTACCAGTAAT